ACAATTTTTGCAGAGGCCAGAGTTAAGTTGACCGCACCAACACTGGGCAGCTCACAACAGCCTATTACTCCAGCTCCAGGAATCTGGCTCTCCTGGACTCAGCTGGCACATGCACACACACACACATAAACATAAATAAATAATTTTTTTTAAGTAGCAATGAAAGACTGGTTTCAAGCCGGCCGTTGGTGGCACACACCTTTAATTCCAGCATTGGGAGGCAGAGGCAGACGGATCTGTGAGTTCGAGACCAGCCTGGTCTCCAGAGCGAGTGCCAGGATAGGCTCCAAAGCTACACAGAGAAACCCTGTCTCGAAAAACAAAAAAAAGAAAGAAAGAAAGAAAGAAAGAAAGAAAGAAAGAAAGAAAGAAAGAAAGACAGGTTTCAATGAGTCAGGAAGACTGTACGCTATGGACTCTTTTGTGAGTCTCAGCCATGGTTCATCTTGGACTCCACTTACCACTGATGTCCTGTTTCCAATAGGTGACTTCTTTGCCTTGGTCTAACAGAACAGACATCTATCCCTTCTAACCACACTCTCCTCGTTCTTGTTCTGTGCGAATGGATTTCTCTCTTCTTTGTTTTTCTTTTTAAAATTTATTTTATTTTTATTTGTATATGTGTGCACATATATATATCTGCAAATACACATGATAATATAATAATAATAAAAGAAGATGTCCTGGATTTGAGAGGGAGTAGGGGATGCCAAGAGGGGTTGGAGAGGAAGAGGAAGGAGGAGACGCGAGCATAATACTCAGCTATGAATTTTTCAAAGTTTTTATAAATTAAAAACGAGGGGAAATGGCGAAAGTTTGAAAAACCTGTGGAAAACAGGGAAAATAGCTCAAATGCAGCAACAAAAATGTCTTGCAAATATTGTTGGTGGTCTGACAAAGATGGGGGGGAACCAGTGGGTTCCTCCCAAAGAGAGAAACAGAATGAGAACGGGGCCCGTGTTGCCTGACAAACTAACTAGCCCTTCCCACTGCCTGTCAGAGAAACTGACTGAGCTGTACATTCTGAAGGAGTGCATAAATATGAAAATCCCCCTAAAAATAATGCGGTCGCTCAAGCCGACAGGCTCTAAATATGCAGCCGTGGCAGGAGTAATGACAGAATGTATTTATTTTTAAAGATTATAAGACACGAGAAGGCCCAGGAATGTGCGTCCCACAGGCTGAGAAGATGCAGGCAACGGAGATGGCCTGTAAGATTGCCAAATGTCAACTTCAGCAGAGATGTCAAGATGGCCGTTTAAAACTTGTTCAGAGAAGGAAAGAGAGCCTCTAGGCATCCGTCCCTAGGGCAGAGTGACTGGGCCAGTTGGTTTTTGTCAAATCGATGCAAACCTAGACAGAGAGAGAAAAGGGAACCTCAGTGGAGAAAAGGCCTCCATCAGACTGGCCTGGGGGCAAATTTGTAGGGCATTTTCATGATTGCTGATAGGTCAGGTAGGTAGGAGCGTCCTGCCCACTATGGGTATTTAAATTGTAAAGGTTTATTTTTAATTGTGTGTGTGTGTGTGTCTGTCTCTGTGTTTGTGTGTCTGTCTGTCTGTCTGTCTCTGTGTGTGTGTGTCTG